GCCAAAAACCTTTAACATAGTTGTACCAAATTTGAACATTTAGAAAACTATAATTATCAGATTCAAATTAAAAATATTTTATTGGTTATGATAGATACTTTTATAAAGTATACCTATTAATTGTGGCAATGAAACACAAAGGCAGAGGTTTCATTAAGGGAAACATGAAAATTTTTACAAGAGAACTCCTGTTTAGTGTCATTTGTATTTAAATCTGTTGAATTTCAATTCACACACTATCAAATAAGATCATTTAAAGGAAACAGATCACTGGCAATTATTATGTTCATATTGTAAATCTACTGCTATGATCTAGCTATTAAACATTCCAAAGCTACCATCTATGCTTTAAACAATTATCCGATCAGGGGTGTTAAGTTCTCCTGTTTAGACTGTGGTATTGAATATTAGACTTTTCAAGTCCATTAAGATTTCTCTTATATATTGGGTGCTCCTGTGTTTGGTGCGTATGTATTTATGAATGTTACCTCTTCCTCTTAGATTTTTCCCCTAACCATCACATAGTGGACTTCTTTATTTCATTTGATTGTTCTTGGTTTGAAGTTGGTACTGTCCACGAAGAGAATTGCAACTCCTGCTATTTTCTGAGGTGCTGGGGCATGTAGTATTTTATTCCACCCTTTGACTTTCAGCCAATGAATTTCTTTATGAGTTAAGTGTGTTTCTTGTATACAGAATATTTTTGGATTGCTTTTCCTAATTCACTGTGCAAGTCTATTTCTTTTAATTGGTGAATTGAGTCCATTTACAATGATGATTATAATTGAGATGTATTGCCTTATTATTGACATGTTATTTTTGCATGGTACAGTAGTCTGGGCTGGAGTTTGTTTTCGTAGAGGACCTGAAGTACTTTGCTCTGTGCTCTTCTTGACTTCATGGTTTGGGAAGAGAAATCTGCAGTTATTCTGATAGGTTTTCCTTTAAATGTGATCATTTTCATTTCTCTAGAGGCTTTTCATATATTGTTCTTGTGTTGGATTTCTTGAATCTTGTCTATTATATGACTAGGTGTGCTTTTAATTGAGTTGATGTTATTAGGAGTTCTATATGCTTCGGTGACTATGAATGTCAGATTGTTTCCCCATATTGGGAAGTTTTCTGCTATTATCTGCCCCTGTTCTTTTTCTATCATTTGTATTGACTCCTTCTTTCTCCTTGATGCCTACTAGTCTCACATTGTTCATCTTTGCATTGTCTTGCAAGTGTTGAATTACTTTTTTCCTGCATACAAGTTGTTTTTAAGAGATCCTTTCTTACCTTTTCACTAGCTGCAAAGATGTCTTCAAGATCAGAAACTATATCTTCACTTTCCCTCAAATGGTTTTGCAAGCTTGTGGTTGAGATTTAACTTCCTCTGTATCTCTTTTACTCTGCTTCATGTGATTTGTTTCTTTCTGATATTGCTCATTCAAGCATTCCATCATTTTTCCAATCTCCTCCTTTTTTTATCATGTCTTCTTGGAATGACTGTCATTCTGGTCATAGTATGTACTGCTTGTCATGTCATATCAATTACTGCTACAATCTCTCTCAAGTATACATTTGTTTTAAAAAGGGTAATAAATGAAAACAAGAGACAAAAAATCATAAGGTGGTTTTGCTACAATGCTGAATATGGTTAGATTTCTAAATATGTGTATACAAATATGTAATTGTTTATTGCAATTTTTAAATTTTTTTTCCTTCTTTTTTCATCACATTCATTAGGGATTTAAAGTTTAACATATCAATATTTGAAGGAAAATACCTGTTCTATGCTATGTCTAAGATGTTTGACATTCAGTCAGATGGAGAGATTAAGTTCAACTGCCTATGTTATAGGGTAATAATATCATTAAGCTTCTCTTCTGGATGGTTAACAACCCAACTTTGCAGACCAAAAATTAGAGAAAAAGAAGGACTGCAAGGACAGCTAACATTTTGACCCTAGCCTTTAAAGTTCAGTGAGGATTCAGGACATAAGAGAACCTGTACTGTAACATATTGTAACTCAGAGATGTCCCAAATTTTCTGATCAAATAGATTATGGGGCCACAGAGAAAAGTGATTGATGATTTAGAGTGTGTGTAAGGAGGGTCACATGGAGAGAAAACATTCTCTCAGACTTTCACAGAAAGCAAAGTGGTCAAGCAATGGCTGTGACTCATCACATGGCTGCCACTGACAAAGGATCTACAAACTGCAGTACAGAGTTTGAGGGTAACTTCTGAAGGGATTTGACTGACCTTTTCAGATACAAAAGTTACATTTCTTGTTATATAGGTC